TGGGACCAGTCTCTGCTGCTGTATGCATGACTGCAGGAAGCACAGACGAAGACAGTTTGATTCAGTGGTAAAGGTTTTCTTCAAGACAATTACTGTTAAATGCCTACTGTTGTAATTCCTTTGTCATCACTGGTGACCACGGACGTTTTTATCCATTTTTCTTTGATTGCTTGAAGCACCAGGGAGCAAAACAACAAACAAGTTTTTAACCATGCTAGTGACATGACTCTAGGGATGGCAACGTCAGTCTGTTGTTCAGTCCACAACATTGGTCGAAACTGAAATGTGTCAACAACTAATGGATGAGTTGTCATGAAATTTTGCAAACAGTCCTGGTATCCAGAGGGTGAATCCTACTGTGAAGCGATCCTCTATGTCACCACAAGGTGGATATTTGTGGGTTTTAAGGGAAATGTCTCAACAGCTATTGGATGTAATGTTGTGATGTTTCTTGTCTCAGCCCATTTTGCCTAGTCTGTCATTAGGTGAATCCCAGTTCCATTAATTGCATCCATGTTTCCCTCACTTGTGTCTTTTCTTTGCATCTTAGTCATGCCCACATAAGATGCAAGGACAAACTGGGGAGAGAGGAACATTAACTGACAAGAGACGTCCTTTCCTCTGATCCTTCATGTGATGCATCCAATCACAAAAAGATTTCCAATAAAGGGGTGTGTCAATCCATAACAGACTTTTGTGAAGTATGCACACATGTATCCTCAGTTAGAGCTCCTCCAAGCAGCCTCCTCGCTCCTCACAGCACAAATAAGAGCTCTGGGACATCCTTCATCATGATGGACTGGAACGACTTTTCTTTTTCTCAAGAAAGAAAAGATAAAATGAGGGAACTGGGATTAACCTTTTGTCCCCTGCCACAGTCCAAACAGCCACCAGATGCCCTCAATCTTTGCCTCAGTTTCAAGTCACCTGACCACTCACACACCTGGTTCCAGTTTTCCTCATCAATCAATTTGAGTCCTCCCTGTCTGGGTTCTTTACACCATCTATGACAAATTCCAATGAAATTTGGTTCACATATCAATGTTCTCCTCAGGATAAACAATTTAAAACAATAACTGGGCAATTTTAAAACCCTGATGCAAACTAATGCATTTGTGAATGATGAACAGAGTTTAATTCCACTTATAATAAACACACAGGGTAGATGTTTTTAGAACATTCTCATTGTATGCCAAGATATATCAGTGTTAGATTCCAAAACATGAATCTCCATTTTCGTGCCTGATGTTGTTACATTCACTCACCTTGTGGACAGAAATCCAATGTCCTCATGGTTGTAGTCACCTGGGAAACCGTGTGTTGAGATGAGGGTTAGGTTGTTGAACCTCAGGTGAGGGCTATGAGAGAACAAACAACAGTGAAAGGCATAAGTGCTTCTCCACACAATATAGTGAATACATACCGAAAGGCATAAGTGCTTCTCCACACAATCTAGTGAATACATGGTGGACACACAGTGAGAGGAATGTTTCCTGGGGAAGGACAACTTGAATTTCTGCAGCTAGATTCTTCATCCAGAAATATGCAACAGCATTTAGAAAGCCTGACTAATGTCAGCTGAGTCAAGAGGAAAATAGAGGAAATATGAAACTATTTTTCTTTATGTAAACTTTATTAAGGAATGTCTAACATTTACACAGTGATGTATCAGCAAAACTGTTTGGCCCTTGCACTGCCGCTAATATTACTAATGTTGAAGAAGTTGACTCTTCAAATGAGCAAAACAGTTGGTTTTATTTGATGAAATCCTGGGTTTAGCAAGCTATCATCTGTGATGATCAGCTTTCTTTATGCACAACAAGTGCTGATTGTCTAAGAGTTTTGTAAGAAAGCAGCATCACAACACAGATCCTGGGCAAAACGGATAATAGAACATGGTTTTTGATGAGAAATGCTATCGCAACAGGATTGGTTAAACGCCCTGGCTACGGGTGAATTCACATTCACTATAATATCCCTTTAAGATTACTAATGTACTTGGTCCATGTTAAACATATAAACATAATATCAGATGTTGAATCCATGTTTAAACTCCTTAGGATTCTCCAGCCCCATGATACATCCATAGTTACTGAGACTATGAACAGTCCTTCTACCTCGTGGGTGTTTGCTGTTCACAATTAAAAAAAAAACATCTGCTGTGATGTGAATGTCCTCTTTTGTGGTGGCCTACAGGACATTAGACAGATGATAAGAGCTCCTGCATTCAGTGAATAGCAGTGTGTACCTCACAGGGACCAGCCTTATCACATTGACACCTCTGATCACCTCCTGCTCTGCTCTTATCTTAGTTTCCTGCTAAATTAACACCCACCAGCACAGATCTGCAACACCAGACACCAAATGCAGTAAACAGATTGGTTATATAGTGAATGGCTGTTGTGTTGAATTACAAACTAGTAGGATGGAACAACATAGTATGTTACATGCTATGAGATGATACAAATTTGATAACCACTTGAATTTTTCATTAATTTACTGGATTAACTAAAAACAAAGAGTCCCATCTGGTTATTTTATTTATAAATGAATTCATATTTAGTGAAAAGTGAGTCATAATAACAATCAGACAATGATTGCAGTCAAACTTTCCTTGTTAATCTTTGCCAGAAGGTGGATTTATGGCGCAGCACTGGGGCATTAAGGCCCATTATTGGTGTGTAAATGTGACTGAATCAGTGGCTCTGGATTTGTTCTGTTATCAGCCAGTGACAGACGGCCGTGGTGACCCTGCAGCCTGACCGCAGCGAGCACAGGCCCAAGCTGTCGCAGAGCTCTTTATCTGTCTGACCCTGACCCAACCAGTAATGGAGCTGGGGGTTGGTGCTGGGCTGGATTCACTGAGCACATGGAAAGCTGTGTTGGGGTGGAGGAGATGTGGGAGGGCTCGGACGTTTGGGCAGGGCTGATAAGGGGGGCCCAGCAGGCCTAAACTGACCCATCCTTCACCCACTCAATGCGTTGCCGCCTCACCATTAGTTCAGCGGACACTAACTGCCTCATTAGTCAACTCATTAGTGATAGCAAACACGGATCGCTGCAGCAGATCCCTGACGGAGAGAAACAGTGGAGTGGCTAATTAAAGGGGGCCAGTCCTGGCCCTGCTGAGTGCCAGGCCTCAGGCAGCTGTGTGTGCCCGCCCGGCACCACCACTGTGCCAGCCTGAGCAGCTCTGCACCTAACAACAGCCCTGGTTGCCTGGCAGCTATCGCCTGCATCTGAGCAGCCCTGCACTTCTTATTTGATGGAGCAGTTAATCTCACAATGTGAGGACGAAGGCAAACATGTAAAATGTTCGACCCGGAGTCAAGTGACATTTCCAGAGACTGGATTCCTGGAATAAAGGGCAATGAAAGAGAAGCTTCAGTGTGGGATTGCTCTCGTGGAGTTCAGGGTTTCAGGAAACAAAGTGAAGTGTTTCTCTACAGACGCATCAGAATCAGTGATAAACACGATTGTGTGAAGATCTTTCAATGAACCAGCTCTCTTTTGTGGCTCCTGAATCATCTGTATGCTCTTTAGTGCTTTTACAGCATGTAGTGCTTCCTGTCTGTGTTAGGCACACTGACACTTACTGACAGATTCAGATGTACAAATACATTATGCAGTTAAAATGGAGTTTTAATATTTGTAAAATTGTTTTGCCCCTACTTTGTAGCTGTGTTGCTGTGAACACTGCTCCTTCTGTGTCTGGTAGTATGGTTCTTCCTGTACCCCCGAACTGCTGCTGCAGCTGTGTTGCAGCCTAGGTTCAGTAGTTACTGATGCTCTGCCATCTTCGTAAAGCCTCACAGTCTGGTGACTCACTTGTTCAGGCAGTTCCTCACCATGAGGAGCCATGTTGCATAAGACACAACCCAGACCAACACTAAGAAAGCTGTGGTGTTTGCATGCTCCTTTATAACCTTGTTTATGCAATTAGACAAAAGGAAATCACAGGTGCACCTAATGTAATGTAATCACCTTTATTTGGCCAAGTATGTTACACACACAGAATTTGTTTCCGGTACAGAACCGAGGCAGCCATCTGCGGCGCCAACTCCCACTGATGGCTCTAACCATCAAGGGCAACTTGGGGGGTTCAGTGTCTTGTCCAAGGACACTTTGACATGTGGACTGCAGGCACCGAGATTCAAACCTCCAACTCTCCAGCTGGGAGACAACCGCTCTGCTGGGGACTATTTTTGGAGGCAGAGTAATGTATATTTGCTTTCTAATGAGTATTAGTGGCAGCAGGACAGTGCATGTGAGGCTGAGATAGAGTAAACTCCAGTGTGTGTGTGTTCATGATGATGAAGGAAGATGTCAGCCAGTGCAACAGTGTGGTCACTGATGGGTTTAATGGTTTCTGGAGATGGTGGAGCTCTGTGGCTCAGAGGATTGATTGTGCGTTTTGGTCATTTTGTTGGATTTGCTGACAAGAAGAAAGATAGAATGTCATCAGCCTGATCTTTTAATCAAAACCTCAGGACCAGGTAGTTTAACTCCAGCATAGTATTACTGGTTGGTTTCTGCAGTGTGTACTGCCCTTAATGGGAACTTGGCGAAGGCAGGTTACATACACAATGCACAGATGGTGTGTGTGTGTGCCTGTGTGTTGGGATAATAAAGGATTGACAGCCAATTAGCGTCCCTGGAATCACTGACTGTCACTGCAGCTACTAATTTCAGAAAAGGCCACTATATCCACATATCTGGGAGAAGAATGACACTGAGGATTTAATTCTGAAACAGACTCACCAGAAACAAAGCACCTCAAGAAAAGATAAACCTGTGTCTGACGCCCCCAACACCACAATCCTGGCATTAACGATGACCTTTGGTTCCATGGTTAACTTTCTGCTGATGAGCCTGAGAGCAAACGGTGCCTGCGAGAGAGAGAAGATAGTCAGTTACGTTTGCGGGATGGCATTTCTCACTCCCAAAGTGTTTGGTGCCATTTTATGATAATTTATCCATTAAATGCATGTGCCCTGAATTATTAACACACCTAAAGCATTAGATAATGATTTGTCCACTTTTTACTATTTCAGTTTCACAGGATGAAGCTGCCTGCTGAAGAGACACAGGGAGACTGTAAGGCTGTGACATTTACCAACAGTTATCTAAACTGTTATTAAGCTGAAGCACAACAGTCAAGTGACCAGAGGAAGGGGTGTGTATTGCTTTCTAATTCTATTTTTAAAGAGTCTGTTCTACATAAGAATGAATACCAAACCTTTGTTCTACTGATTTGTTTAGGCATTTTAATTCCTTTATTACTGTAGATGGAAACTAGAAAGATGTTAGAAACTAAGGAGAGAAATGGGGAACAACACGTGGACATGAACTGAGAATGCAGCTGGTCACTGACGATGTATTAACCCCTGAGCCACCAGGGCTAAATCCTTAAATTAACTTTGTTTTTTATACAGCAGAGATGAAACTATATGATTCTATTTAGCCCAAAGTTTGGGAAATCCATTAAAAGGTTGAAATCTGTGCTTTTGACTATTTTCTCCACTTATTTCACATCACAGATTTTGTATAAAAAAATAAACTTGTATTGTTGGCCTTATTCATATTTCTGTGCTTAGTGTATTTCCATCCCAATGTCATATCCTCCTAAACAAATAAACAGTTACAAAAATCTACTGTAAGAACTGCAGTAACTACAGCTCAAGGCTCTAATGAGATAGAAACACGGGGATCAAACATGTGACTTGACAGTTCAGGAACACTTTTCCACAATAATTACAACACCCACAGGAATTTGCAGAACACAGTGTTCTAATTTCTCAAGTCCTCCACCGCCAAAGCGTCTCTGGTGATCACCCTGTGGTCTGAGGCAGCTAATGGCTCCTTCATCATCTACAATTATGCAGATTGAACCCACAATGCACCTTGTTGGATGAAAACAGCATCAAGCCAAAAAAAAAGGAGGAAACCCAAGGGTGGAATTAACCTTTGTATAATATTCAAATCATTTCTACAAGGGCCTGTGAGCCTGACCTTTGTCACATCCAAAGAGACGTTCTGGCTCAGGGTTTGACTATGGCTAGGAAGTAAAGGCTCCTGTGGTTATTTTATAGGATAAATGTATGTGTGCACACATCAGCAATAATAGGTCATAAAGTAATCCTTTAAAATGATATGACTAATAATCAGAGCATATTACATTTAAGGAGTAAAAACTATACGCTCTATAGTAACCTATAAATGCAAGTCAGTAAATGGGTTCTGAGAGTTTGGAACGATGTCTTAGTCTGAAGAGAGTCCAGGTAGTTTCATTAGAGTTGTAACATTGGAGTCCTGTTTGTTTCCTGGACATGAAACTCTCCTGGATGAGTGTTGAGTACAAATCGTAAACAACAATTCAGGCCTGTGGCCTGTGAAAACAGTGTAAAGAGAAGTTAGTGTAACTACAAGTCCCAGTGAGCATTTTGGTAGTAAATTAGTCACAGACTCTTGAACTCTTGAACATTCAGCAGTTTAAGATCCTGGGTCAGTTTTGGCTGGATTCAGCTCCTGTAGCAGTACATTTTGTTCCTAAATGCAACAACGAAATGGTCTGAATTTTCTTTGTTTACAATGCAGGAGGAGATAGCAGCTCGACTTGATGGGCAGCCAAAGACCAGCAGAGGTAGAGATATATTTATATGAAAATGTTGCTGGTTATTATTTCCTACACACGAGATAGTGTCATGCAGATGATGGATTTTCACATATAATGAAAAATAAGAAAGACTTGTGTAAAAATCCTGTACGTGTAGTGTAGTGAAACAAAATGCCTCCATGCATCCGCCTGAATAGTGCAGGAATTAACCAGATGAGTTAATCAGATGAACAAAGCCCCTGTCTCATCTGCATGTGCGGTGGAGCAGGTGCAGCAGCTCTTATCACGCTGGAGATGCCTCATCTTTCCTACACACAATGACCACAGCTCTGTGTAATATGATCCTGTATTGACAGAGGGGGAACAGGTGCTTTAGATTTGATTAATCATCCTGAGGCTGACATCAGGAGGCAGAGACAAAGCTCGTAGCTGAAGCTCTTATCTGCACAGTAGCCTGGAAATCATGACTGCAGTGTTACCGAGGCGAAGGGGGCGGACTGGGTTTGATGGAGTGAAATGAACATGTGGGTGTACACAGTGACGCCTCGGGGCTAAAGAGCACTGCTGTACGTGTGGTAAATATTTGAAGTACAGGACACTGAAATAAATCACAGCCACATTATGTTCAGCCTGGCTTGGAAGATATAAGACCAGAACACGTGACTCAGGGTGCAGTTTATACACACGAAGCTGAAACCATCAAGAGCTGGGAGTGTTATTATGCACCTGTTGCTTTGGCTCTTTTACCAGTTTCATACATTTTTCAAAAAAAAAAAAAAAAAATCCAAACTTGTGCTCAAAGTGACACAAACAAACAACTAGCCCTGATATACTGACAAATTAAAAAACACCATCAGGACTGATATATAACAATGTGCACCTTAAAGTCTGTGCTTCAGCTGCAACTCTTTTAAATACATTAAATTCATGTTTCACTCTGATATAAATTTAAACAAAACAAAACAAAAAAAAGTTTAAATACAGAATCTTGCCATTTCTACTTAGTTGTTGTGCAGCCAAACAATGTTCAAAACAACACATTTAATATCTAGTGGAGATTCAAATGTTTTCAGATATCAAACATGTGAAGCTGAAGACTGAAGCCCTGTGTAAAAACACATTTCTGACCCACCAGAAAATATCTGTGGATACACATAGGAAAAAACTGGTGTCTTTCAAATTAGCAGAGAAAATTGAACATTATCTTATGGATTTTTGTTTGATATTAATATGAGAAAAGCTGTTTAGAGGATCTCATAAAACAATTTGGAATCACTGTTTGTTCATAAGGTTTATGAATATATTGCACAAAATTCTGTGCGATCATTCCATCATACTGGGTTTTATATCCTGTGCTGAGTTTCCCTTCAAAATGCTGGAGTGAACTGCATTCACTCAGCGTTTACCTTTTGAAACAGCACTGTCTAGTGGTCACACTGACACCCTGCTGCCTCTCAGCAGCCTTCAACTCATCTACATTCCCTGGCAGGCTGCTCCCTGTCGGCCAGCTGCTGCTGTGCCCACCTGCTCCTCTGTGATCTGCCTGGACGGAGCATTGATGCCAAGCTCCTCCAGTGGGTAGATGATCTGGCGTCGTGGGCGGACGGGGACCACACAGTTGAGGACAAAATCCAGATGGTGGACACAGGAATTCTGAGTGCAGAAGAAGAGGGTGAAGTGTCAGTGAGCTGAGAGAGAGAAAGTGTCAGCGAAGGGGATCTGGAGTCAAAGTGATAATGAGCTGCGGTGAACAGGTTAATGATGCAAAGTTTACACTGCTGATATGAACTGAATATGACGGGAACATTCACTGCCAGAACAGAACTAATTCTCTGGTTATCTTCTGCCATTATTCTATTTGCACATCATCATCTCCCAATCTGGTGCTTGTTTGTGGAAGGTAATTAGCAGAGGAAGTGGAGGCCTCTACACGTTGAGGAAATGTCTTATTATGGAGTGGAGAGGTGGAGCTGGCAGTACAGTCAGCACCTGCTGCCACGACCCCGGAGACAACAGCCTGCTGAGGGCCGCACTCTGCAAAAAATGACCAGCTTAAGCCACAACAGAACAAATCCATCCGCCACATTTACCTACTATGTTTGCACAAATATAATTGTGTGTATCAAGGAAAACATTGAAATGTGAAGGAAAATTGTTTTTTTAAACAACTTGATTCCGATTTCCATTCAAACCCAGTTTACTCAGCTGAACATGGATACGGTAACAAGTAGAGACATTTTTAAAGCTGTTTATAAACCCATGGTAATAATCTCACTGATCTGTATACTCACATAACACATAATTTAGCTACTTTGGATAAAATAAATTGTTTTTGTCTAATCTGTAGCTCTGATGTGAAACAGTGGCAACACCTACAATATGCTGGTGAGTGACTGAGATAATAAATAAAACACAATACCAATATAAAGTTAAAATACACTAGGATTAATACATCAGAGAGGTTGACCGTTTTTCATGCCTTTAAGATGTTTACCATAATTTCTAATTGTACATAATGATGCAGCCTCGAGTCTGAAAGTCCAATCATTTAGCACAAAAAGCTGCAGCAGAACAGAGTTTCTGACCAGTAAACATGGTTAAACTGTTCTCTCAGTCATATATGATGGGAAACATCACTGCAATAAAATCTGGGTTGAAAAACAAAAAGCCTAAGAAAATGTATCCAGTGCTTTTGATTATGTTTTGCAGAAAAAAACTGTCTTGAACATTAGTGTGTCATCATTATCGTCACCATCTTCTCTGGACACTAAATCAAATGTCAAATTCTTCTTTTTCCACAGACACGTTTGAAAAATTCTTCAATTCCATTTTTCTTGAATAAAATTCTGTTATCCTGGAGTTTTACATATATGTATCAAGAAAATTGTCACCTCGGTCAAAAAGTGAAATCATCTCGACAGTTTGAGTCGGAATGACTTGTCAAGTGTAAAGGATATTTTTTGCAGTGTACAAACTGAGGATCATTACACTAATGACAATGTGTATCTGAGCAGACATGCTCAGGGGCTAGAGGGGCCCCAAATGACGGGCCAGTGCACCTACCTCCTGGCTGTGCTTGGGGGGGTAGGTTCTGTGGTACAGGCAGGATCTGTGAGCCAGCCGCAGAACCTCCTTAAACAAGTGTTTGGTGAAGTGCTGGAAGGAGGGTTTGAGGATGAAGTGGCGTATCTGAGCGTGCTCCTTGTAGTGATATTGACTGAAGTAGATGAAGTTCTCGATGTTATAGTGGGCACAGATGTACTCAGTGTCCTGACAGAGACAGACTCGTGTCAGTCCTCTACAGATTAACTCCATGACAGGGGAACATTTCTAGGTATTTGTGCTTTATATTTTATTTTTTGTTGTTTAATAGAGTGCCCTTCTTTTTCTGCTATTCACATAAAAAGAAGCAAAAGCTGCCAATGATTGTGACATTTTCTAATCACAGTCTGTCCATTTTTAAAGTTTTTAAAATTAAATGACCTTTATTTATAGGGTCAAAGATGTAAAGATAATTTTAATAAGTGAAAGTATGACTGACAAAACAAAAGAACTGACTTCACCAAAAGACATTTCTTTGTGTAAAATAAACCTCTTATACTCGAATTACACAAAAAAATACATATTTGATTACAGTTTCTATTAAAATAATTTACACAATCATAAGAACTGTCCTTTACTTAGTGTAATATAGACTCAGAAAAGCCCAAGAGCAAGCAGATGACTGCTTTCATTATTAATTCATCTCTTGATATTTTATTAAAAACTGTATAAAAATGTTAGAGCCCAAGGTGACACCTCTAAATAGCTTGTTTTATCCAACTAACAGCCCAAAACACATTTTATTTACAAATGTATAAAAAAGAGAAAAGCTGAAATTCAGTATAATGTTTGGTTTCATGATAAGTGACAAACTATTCATCTACTATCAAATCTTATTAGTATATTATCTAATTTTGAAGCACCCCGAATACGAGGGTTTAATTCTTTAATTAAAACTCAACACAGGACTAGAAAACTGCACCTACCTGCTCGTCTCTGATGATCAGTATCCCCACAACCTGACCGTCCACCTGAGCCACGAAGGCCTGCAGTGGCACCCCATCCTGAAAAACAAGAGAACAAAACTAACATGTAAATGTACATGTGTATATTGTACTGAATATAAGCTGAATGCACCTTCTTGTACTAGCTGAGTCCAGTGCCATGAATTCACATGGAGGGGCTGCATTCTCATTTAAGAAGTAATTATCAGTTTTGGAGCTGCAGCAGTGACAGCTGGGGTGTCGGTCAGAGAGGAACAAACTGAATTCTCACCAATCTGTTCTCTGGCATACGTGCGATATTCCTTATTATTCCAAGACAATCATCATCATAACAGCTTGAGTCACACTTGATGGTCCAAAACAATCATCATTTATTTTTTAAAGTTAAAGGCATGGGGAGAATTTTCTGGGATATTTTCTTTTACTGTTTATGCTGATTAAAATCCTGCTTTCCAAAGTAATGCTAATCCATTCAAATCATTACTATTGTATTAATAATACATTAACTCTACTTAAAATCACATTTAGTTCATTAATAAACCACCTGCCACTTAATATTGTATTTGCACCATTATTAAATACACTTCTGTTTTTTTACTGCCTTATCTCCAACCTTTGTTCAACTTGTCTTACTGTGAGAAAATTAACAACAAATGAATATATACATCATACTTTCTTAAAACCCAAAATCCTGCAGAGAAGGTGACAGTATTTGTGTGAGTCCCAAGTAATGTCTGCAGTTTTCCTCTCGGGCTGCTCCTTAAACTCCCAGTAGAACAGCTGGTGTCTTAGAAGCAAAACCTAAGGCAAAGAGGCCATAAAACAATCGCTGCTGTTCATAAAGCTTACTGCTGTGAACTAATAACAGTAATTAAAGGAGAATCAGACCAGATTCTCTTGAAGAAAACATGAACATTCACACAAAAGGTGTGTAGAGTGGCTGACGGTGAAGCCCTGGTGTGTTGGTTTCAGTGTGTGTTCACTGACCTGGTCTCTGCGGGTCTCGTACAAGTGGTCCAGGTCCTGCAGCAGGGACTCACTCAGTCTCAGACCCTTCACCAGGTCAGATACAGCTGGCCGGTCTGCAGCCACAGCCGGCCTCACCTCCACAGGCCTGCACAAACAACTAGTGTGACCACAAACTGAGAGGAGCACAGGTCCGCAAATGTTCTCTCTGTCACCTTGTGAGACACCATCCTAACAAATGTCTTCTAGTTTGCAGGGGAACCATCCTCTTTCCTGTCTTGGTGCTTCATTGTCTTATAGCATAAGTAAATAACTGGCTAGCAAGGTGTGTTTAAATCCAAGACAGGTCCAGCAGACTAAATATACTGACTTATGACTTTTCAAGTAGCAGAGGAGCCAAAAATGTGCCAGGACCTCCTCTCTGAAAAATAACCATATCAAATCTGTAATCATGCCATCTCTGAAAAAGTAACAAGACAGCAACACTATCTGACAGTGATGTACTAATAGTGCCTGGAAGAAACAGACTTATAAGAAGCAACCACCTTAGCCCAGTGGCATGGGCAATGTAGAGTTCCTGATGCAACAAGCTGGTGGCGAGAGGCAGCACCCTGAGGAAGCTCTGCAGCAATGGAAACTCCGGGGACAGAGTTGGTACCGTGATGATGCAGAAATCCAGGTCCTGGCAGACAGAAGGCCGACAAATACCAGCATCAACACGTCATGGAGCAGCTACGTATGTTCAATACATTATTAAAGGGCCCATGGCGCTTTTCCTTGTTTTTTGACTTATCTACAATGTTACAATGACGAATTATCTTAGACATAATAAAGTATTGTGTGATAGTTTAAGGATCTCCTTGAATGGGCATAAAATCCAGGCCGTTGCATGTTCATGTGACCTTACCTGGCATCCACCGGTGCCCCCACCATACTGGCAAAATGTTACATTGCTTTGTTTGTTATGTGTATTTTCAATCAAGCTTATGTTAAAAAAAGACATCCACGGTGCCAACACCAGCAGCAGGAGTTGTGTGCGTTCACGAACTGTCATCTCATTTTAAGGAAGAGGCTTTTTGCCTCTGATTCTGAAACAATTACAAACTATTTGGAGTTATGAGGGGTGCCAAGATAATCTAGAAGTACCCAAGATTAAATATTAAGTGGCTGGAAACAAGCAAAATGAGCATGACACGGGCACTTTAAAAAGCTAATATAAAGAATTCACAGGGATTTTAAACTTTGTCATCTTTGCAAGACCTTGGAATCAATGTTATGTGTATTTGACAGCTGTAGAGAAAGTATTTAGATGGTTTGGTTTTGTCCAAATGAAAGTACAAACTATTATTAAATTATTAGAAATAAAAAATTGTTTTAATATTGAAAAGGATAAGCAGCAAATCCTCATATCTGAGAAGCTGAGGCCATAAATCTTTGACTTGAAACAATTACCAAAGTTGATCAATTAACAGTTTCAGCTGTATTTACAGTTACTGTATGTGGATTCATTTTCAACTCATTTTCTAAGCTCTTTATAAGTTTTCTGTACAAAACTCTTAAATCATAAACTAGTAACTAAAGCGGCCACATAATTTTAGTAGGGTAAAAGTATAATGTTTTGAGTAGAAGTAGAGAGTTGCATGAAAATAAAATCCTCAAAGTATAAGTGCCTCTAATTTTTACTTAACGACTTGAGTAAATGTACTTAGTTCATTCCACCACTGGTATTCAATAACTTTAATTACATAGTTACGTACAACTAAAAAAAAAAAAAAAAAAACTTCTTCTGTAACGTGCATTAATGATACTCACAGGAAAACATTTGAATATGTATGGAATGAAGTCCACTGATCTGCAAGAGAGAAGGGGAAAGTTAAGTGAAAATATGTGTCTGTGCCAAGTTCAGAATCAAAGCCAAGTTGGTAATCGCTGTGGTGGAACAACTGGCCGACCAATCTGCCCGCTGCTTCCAGCTCAACTTCTTGCCTTCAACTCGCTGTCACTTTAAGCACAGTTCTCATTAATAACATGCTCACTCTCGGCGGGAAGCGACTCCACTCCATATTCAGTAACAGCTGGGAGGTAAGGCGGTGGTGAGAGGAGCTCAGCAGGAGCCAACTAACAGTCACTCTCCCTGCTTTAACACAGCATATGACTGACGTATCTCTGGACCCCTGCCACTGGTGCTGCACCAGCACTGCCTCAAAAATGTCAAGAAAGTGACAAAAACTGAACATTTTAAAAACATATTTTCATTATAGAAAAGCAGAATTGTGGTATCTGACTTTCAATATCTGTGAATTTTACACAATATTAATGTTGTAAATATGTTTTAGTTGATGTTGCCTGCTACTTTTTAGTAGCCTTCATTTTTTATTGCCTTATGTCTGCAAGCCGGACCCATCTTTCACTTTCACATTGTATTATCTCAGCTCAGATATTCTATCGAACATACTGCAGTATTTTGTTTTACTGTGTATATTGAAAAGCCATGCACATCATGATGCATGTCAAAAAATGCTTACACATATGATTTTATATGAATTTTGAAGATCCCACTTCCTAAACATCCTATATTCACTGTGGTTTTGGCTTGAGGTTCATCCCAACCTAAACAATCTAAAAGAATATATACTGCTCAAAAAAATAAAGGGAACACAAAAATAAGACATTCAACTATGTTGTGTTCCCTTTATTTTTTTGAGCAGTATATATTACCAGCTCAAGACTATTTTTGTATTTTATGTTTATATTTAAAAGACAAAACTGCTGTTAGTCATGGCTATCATTGTCAAGAAAGCCTATAAAAAATACTAATTTCTTCAAAGTGCTGCTCACTGCAGTTTTTATCAAATCAACAGGAGGAAACAGTGCATGTGTTAGGGACTGTTTTCAGCAGCAGATGAATCCACAATTAGCCTTTAGTGAGTATGTGTGTGGGACTGAATCAGAATAACCTCCAGCGTGTGTGCTCATGGTGATGAAGGAATATATCAGCCAGTGCAGCATTGTGGTCACTTATGGATTAAAGGTTTCTGGGCACAGTGGAGCTCTGTGGCTCAGATCGAGGCAACAACAGGACAGAAGAGTACATTTTGGATGCACACATCTTACTAACTTACTTGTTAGTAGGAGACATTCATGGTTGACTTTGTCTTTTCATGGGATTTGTTGACAACAGGAAAAATACAGTATATATCATTAATACCTTTAGCTTTAAATTTTAGAAATCTTACCTCATTTCAGAATTCTTCTCAATAATGAAGAACTGAATACAAAAAACTCTGGGTTTCTCTGAAGCTCCATTTGACTGTGTCAGGTAAAACAAACATATCACTGAGCAGAAGGTGAAGAATAAGTATGATGCAATATCATGCAGTAATGGTATGACAACTCAAAAGCACAACTTTGATTGTATTACGTCTGTTCATCTTAGAACAGGATAATCATGCACAACACCTTTCCACTGATTTGATCTGCTTTGATTAGACAATCGTTCAAATTTTTCTGATAAACAACTGTAGTGAAGTGCAGTTCAGTTACCCGCTGAGCAGGAGAACTTTGGGTTTCTGCTTCATCTTCTCCTGCATCAGTGTGAACAGCAGGCTGCAGTTTGTACAAGCCATTGAAGTCAGTGAGCTCAAAGTTGTCATGCAGCTGTTTCAAATCAACTTTAGCAGTAACACTGATGAAGCCAGCAGCCACCCCGCTAACCTGTGGAGAAGACAGCATTATATAATGCTGTTTATTTATAATGGAGCAGGCCTCTAATGTAAAATGCCTTTACATTTTTGCTTTGTTAGGAAAGTGAAAAAGATTGCACACTTGAGCAAAAAGACTGAGAACAATCTGCCATCTACAGAGACTGAAACTCAAGGCACTAAAAGTATCAATGTCATCATGATCTTCAGCCCCGTAGAGCCTTCCAAGAAGGTATTACTTCACCACCCACACTGTTTAAATAACAGGTGATCTCTTGGAAGTGCCATTTAACATCTGAGCTCAACAGGACTTGGTTTAGATCAGGCCAAAGATTTTCCCTTTATCCTTGAACTATAAAGCAGCAGTTATCAAAACAATGGCATCTCAAGGTTCATGCAGTAGCTGTTCTAAAGTTTTTGATCATATCACACAATCTTCCTCAGCAGATGGAGTTTGCTCATTTGAAATGTAGACAAGCGTCATTTAAATGCTATTTTAGAAAGTGAACATTGATACATCTTGAGAAATGTGTCATTTTTTGGAAATGAGCTTATAAACAGTGAGAAATTCTCACGATGATTTGAGTTTTGACTGAAACCATACTCGTGACATATGAAGCACAAGTAGACATGCTGTGACTGAACCAGATGATTATCCAGAAGAAGAAAATAACGAAAAATATTTACTATGACATTCAGCAGACTAGAGAGCCCAGCCCTCTGGGGCAATGTTGCACTGTTGGTTCTCTGAGTGCTGAACATATTCACAGACAAAACGCCCAAAATGCTTCAGATGTCTGGACACAATATGTTCAGTGAGAGCATGTCTTGGCTGAGTATCAGCTTGTATCTGCCATATGCTGCCATGAACACATGTCAACCCGACTGGCGGGGAGGGGAGAGAAGATCTGTTGTTTCTCAGGTCCCGAGGGAATGGACCCCAGTGGGGTTTCTCACATTCAGTCTCAGCATCATGCAAGAGCTGCTACCGCATTATTTTTAGACAGGCACAGTGGATCAGACATGACTGGAAACACATCACATACGACACCCCAACCAGCAGGGATGAACTAAATGGTTTATCAGTGCAATGCCCGCTGTGGGGGACTGTTAGATTTAAATATTCACCTAATACCTTTAAAAGTGTTTAAGTGAGAGATGGGCTCAAAGTTGGTAACAAACCTCACAAACAGCAGTGTGGTTTTCCTCATTCTGTGCCTCAATGAGCTCTGCCAGGACATACGGCTGGCCGATGACTGACAGCAGTTTTGTCTGCTCTTCAACTATGTGCATAATGTCATCGTGATCATCGACCCTGTAATATACAAAAAGAGGATTAGCCTACACAATAAAGCTCCACCAATCAAAACGTTTCAGTCTCTTTTGAGATCATGGTTTTGGTTTTACGGCACATGAAGGTGAAAATGCAGGTGAAAGTAGAACATCAAGCAGCTAAAAAGATACTTTTCTCAAGAGTTGGTGGAGGCCAACCAAAGCTAAAATGACATTACTCTGTTTTCTGGATATGTGGATAGGCAATTGTTTGCTAATATGTTAATAAGATTTCATAATGTGATAATATGTCATGGCTGTGGGTTTGTCGGCATGCTGTGGAGTTCTTCTGCACCCAAGTGGCCAAAAACGTCGGTTAATGCAGCTTTAACTTTATAGAGCTACAGAAAAAAAAATTCCACACCCACTGTGTTTTACAGACAAATTCACTATTAACTCTGTTTTTGTTGGCACAGGATTTGACTGTCAAAGCACATCTTTTTTATTATGCACATTCTAGCACATGGCATGTTAAAGATGACGACAAACGCTCACCTTGAGCTCCATATCATTACATTTTAACGTCCTTTACGAGCATGCACTATACTGTTATGTGCTATACACACGTTTGAGTGTTATACAGTATTAGTGGGCTGGAATCACCTGGCTGGGCGGATATGAAGCCGGGGACAGTGATTGTGTCTGTGGCAGATTAATGCTAAACATGAAGGCCCAGTGTCAGTCAGGCGCTGCAGCGGTTCAAACATCTCATTCAGTGCAGGCTCTGGATACACAGAAGTCATGAGGATGAGTCTCTTCCATGAAAGATAAAATTAACAATGAATCTGAAGCAGTTCCTCACCTAAATTGCTAATGTTTGGGCTGACCAGACAGATGTATTCAAGCTCTGTGATGGCATTGAAGACAGCCCTGTAAAAAGATACAGAATAAAAAAGTGATTATAATTTAGCACACATTGAATTCGCCTCCTGGGAGAGGTGAATGCCGGGGGAGGTGACAGTGGTGCGGTGGGTAGAGCAGTCATCTCCCAAACAGAAGGTTGAAGGTTCAAATCTCAGTGCCTGTAGTCCACATGCTGAGGTGTCCTTGGGCAAGACACTGAACCCCCCCGTTGCCCCCGATGGTTAGAGCCATCGGTTGAGTTGGTGCCGCAGATGGCTGCCATCGGTTCTGTACCGGAAACAAATTCCTTGTGTGTAACATACTTGGCCATTAAAGGTGATTATCCTTATCCATAGATCTTTATACATTCTGTATATTATCTGATTATTTATAAACAAAACACCTTATAGTAACAACCATTACTGATATTCAACAGGTACTGGTATTTAACAGGTACTAGGAAATTCGACCATATAACTCCGGTACTGGCTTCTCTTCACTGGCTTCCAGTTCGTTTTAGAATCCATTTTAAGCTATTGATTTTTGTTTTTAAGGCTCTTAATGGTTTGGCACCGCCTTACCCTGCTGAGTTGGTGAGGTGGCACGAACCAACTAGATTACTCAGATCCTCAAGCCAGTTTCTGTTAGAGGTGCCCAGGGCCAGATGCTTTTATTGCTGCAGCTCCTAAATTGTGGAATGGTTTACCTTTTAGTGTTAGATCCTCTACAGACTTGACAACTTTTAAATCATTGGTTAAAACATATTTATTCACTCTGGCTTTTAATACATAGTGCTGTCTACTGCTTCCTCCTTTTATCTGTTGATTCTGTGTACTTGGTGTTTTTATGTTCCTATGTTGTTTTATTTCTCCATTGATATTTTTTACTCTGGATTTGCATTGCCTTGTAAAGTACTTTGGTTGACCAGACGTTGTTTTTAAAGTGCTATACAAATAAATTTTGATTGATTGATTGATATTCATAATATTTTGGAGCTGAATCATGTCAGTGTCACGTTCATCGCTTTACGGTCTGAATGTTGATAATCACTACACCACACAGCACCTCAGGAGTATCACATTTAAGTCTACATTTTAGTTTCCAGATGATTTCTTATGGAATGATGGTGGAACTAAAACAAGTAAACTTTCAAGTACAGATTCAAGATATGAATATGACAAAACCGTGACGAACTGCACAAGTTTTAGTACACTTAAAAAAAAGGCATATTCATACCTCATTATCTCCTTTATGCATTCGGTGGCAAACTTCATCTGTGCCACAAAAAGGTGAAGGAAAAGTGTGTTCAAAGGCTGCAGGGAGGGAAAAAACAACAATTTTCACTGCAATGCTGATCACTTTTATTTCCCCTCATCTGTCAGTAGTTTTACTTCAAATATTTAATAGTGAAAAAGTTTTCCTGACAGATTAGTTTTGTTGGAGCCAAAGAGCCATATTACCCCATATATTTATATTTGCCATGCATGAATCTATGAATGTATTTAAATAAATAATTCTTTGTAGTTCCAAAATAATGAATGATACAAACTGTGCATTGTTCAGTGTTGAAGTGTTTGTGCAGGAACAGTTCCCAATGAGCCTGATCCACCAAGTCTCCAACAGGGTGGTCAGAGAAGGAAGCATGAGCCAGGATGTCATCCTTTTCATTGGCCAGGGTCACAGCCAGGTTGGCCTTCTCTCTGGGTGTTACAGGAGATGAGAGAAGAACATGACTTTGAAACTTCAACTCAGTGTTTTTAAAGTTGCCTGATAAATACTAGAAATATGTAATTATTACTATGATTACTTGTAGCTGTAACAGCTAGTCATCTTCTACATGGTGTCAGGATTTCACTGTGGAAAAAATGTATCTCACACTACTCTTGTACCATAAATAATGTAGAGCATGTATAAATGGGTATGAATGGTTATAACATTGTAAAGTATGACAATAAACCGGTACAGTGAATGCAACTATTGATATGTACAATATGAATATAGGACAGTAGTCTATGTAGAGTGTCAAAATCTGTTATTATCAACAGTGGTAAATGTTGGTCAGAGACAAGTAACCTAACAGGGCATGTAATATTCAATAAATAAACAGGTGAAACTTTCTTTGGTTATGGTATGTTCATTGTTTTTGACATTTTAGACGAAATGATTGACAACAATTGTGAAGAGTTTTAAAATCATACATTTAGGTTTGTGCTAATTTCACAGGCATTTAATCAGTGTGCTTATGTGCAGACAGTATGTTAATTAACGTTACTGTCTGAACTCTATGCATTAAAAATAAATATTTTTCTTACAGAACATGGATCACATCGACTGTTCCAAAAACTGCCTGCGTTGATGGGCAGATAAGGCTGTTAATCCCCCGAGCATCCGCTGACTCACTTCTTCTCACGGTTACAGTTTCCACTTGTCCGCTGGCTGAAGTTATAGTCCTCATCTTCTTTTAATAAAGGGACATGATATCATATCAACCATGACAATACCAACAACGACGACGACAACAATGATGTCTATTAGCTAGTTAGCTTAACAATAAACGCCAAAACTGAAGCAATTTCTTAGCAGAACAGTTGTTACTTACCTCTCACAGATGTATTTCTAAAAAACATATAAATTTGGATTTACAGACTAATCTTCTATTGCTTTTGTGAGATTAAAAACAAAGATATTCGTAAAGTTTGCTCCATAAAAAACGGTAAAGTTACTAGCGAACGCAAACTCTGTTGCTATGACAACAAAACGCTTCATGAGGGGTCAATGGGAATGCGCAATGCATTCTGGGTACTATCATGGTGGCCGTCGTTGGATGTAGCCAAAACGTTGTGTTACCTATAACCGTTGTTGTTGTGATCGAAACATTTTAAATAAGTTAGGCTAAGTGATTTTTGATTAAACCTGCCAGCAAAAATGGCTTCCACGGCCGCGGGTAAACAGAGGATACCGAAGGTGGCGAAGGTAAGAAAACAAAACAATACAACTGTAATCAAGTGACTTCGGTTAGCATTAAGCTAATGTTAACGGACAGTGGTAAAGTTAAACGGAGAAATCTTATGGGCTTAGCGCCAGATGGTGCTTATATTTGCTTTTAATACATACAGTACAAATCTTATAGATCTGTAAATACGAATAATAATATAAAAGAAGGTATTTTAGCTGCTAACGTTAGCCAGACGGAAGTAGCTTAAATAAAACTTAAGATATAGGTATGCAAGCATTAAGAACATTGAAACATTACGGTCACAAGTGGAGCAACATTGTGTTACAGGTGAAAAATAAAGCTCCTGCAGAGGTCCAGATCACTGCTGAGCAGCTGCTGAGGGAAGCTAAAGAGAGAGAGCTCGAACTTCTGCCACCACCACCAAAACAGAAGATCACAGACGAAGAGGAGCTGAATGATTACAAGCTGAGGAAGAGGAAGGTAAGTGCTTACAACCAGTATAATTTCTGGAGCACTAATATGTCGTTTGCGTTTGCAAACATATTGGGGTCCTAGGTTTGTTCAAGTGCAGTCTTTAGCACAAACAATTGCTAATTTACTCACTTTAATGAAGCACAACCCCAAAAAGAGGAACCAAGGCAGACTAACTTTATGTGAAACTCTTGGGCTTTCTTTTAGGCATTCGAGGATAACATCAGAAAGAATCGCACCATCATCAGTAACTGGATTAAATACGCTCAATGGGAGGAAAGCCTGAAGGAGATCCAGAGGTATCGCACCTAGCTACAATATTAGAACATATCAGGGCACTGTTTAATCAATCCAGCTGTTCCCAACTGAACTAAGCAGTGTCCAGTGTCAAACCCCTTAACCCCCAAACCTGTATAACTGTTCACAGTTCTGATTAGCCTTTCAGCTTTCATATTAAAAATATACTCTATTCTCTCAATTCTTCTCACTCTGGTTTTAGAGCTCGTTCCATTTACGAGCGAGCGCTGGACGTCGATCACCGCAACATCACTCTGTGGCTAAAGTACGCCGAAATGGAGATGAAAAGTCGTCAGGTGAACCATGCCCGCAACATCTGGGACAGAGCCATCATCATCCTCCCACGAGTCAACCAGTTCTGGTATGAGTTACATTTAACTACCTGCTGAAAGATTATACTGCGGCGTTCACCGAGGTGTCTGGTGGTGATGGCAAGCTGATGTGAGGGGAAGATAAAGGAGCAAACAAAAAAATATCAAAAACAACATTAACATTACCTGGAAATTGTGAGCCAGTGTGTAAAGTTTGGTATCCACTTAAAAGGCAGCAGGAGAAACAGGTGCTTTTCTTCTGAGGTTGGACAAATTGTCAGAGTGATAAAACTGTTTGAGCTTCATGTCTACAAAGAAACAAAGAATTAGAGTAATGGACTTGTATTGTAAGTTATTATAAAATTGATTCTTGATGTTAGGAAACAGGTAGTCAGCTGTTTATTGATAAATACAGGAAAAGAAACAGATCCATTTAGATCCCTGTGTGACGTTGACAGATCCATTTAGATCCCTGTGTGACGCTGGTCTGACATGACAATGATTCTGCTGTGTTTGCATTAGCAGGGAGACTCCTTGCATCAAACCAAGTGCTCCCTTTTTCTCTCTAAGCTGCTAGTGTGAAACTTTGAAAAATGTGGCACATATACACTGTACAGTGCCAACACAGAATCTTTGGTTTGTCTACAATTTCACATGGGTGTCCAAATACTTCTGACTTTTTATTCCTTAGGGACTATTTTTGCTTTTTAATGTTTGACTCTTTGTCCTTCCATCAGGTACAAGTACACCTACATGGAGGAGATGCTGGGGAATGTCGCCGGCTGCAGGCAGGTGTTTGAGCGCTGGATGGAGTGGGAGCCCGAAGAACAGGCCTGGCATTCTTATATCAACTTTGAGCTGCGCTACAAGGAAGTGGACAAAGCCCGCACCATTTATGAGCAATATATCCTTTTGTTGTTGTTTCATGTGTTGTGTTACCAGCTTACAAGATGTGAGGGAGGTTTGTTGTGGTGTTGGGTCACATTCATAGGATGAAGATAGTTTGGATTTAAGTCTATTTTTGTTTGGACAAGAGACCTACAGGTGAAGAGAAGCATCAGTGCATGCTGCAGAAGACATTATACATTATCCATTAGTAGATGGTGTTTGTGAAACCCTTTGCATTTTGTATCCTTGGGATAATCGTTTTATTATAAAACTTCTTAACTCCGCTGCACTTGTCATCGTTCACCCCGAAGTGAAAAACTGGATCAAGTACGCTCGATTTGAAGAGAAGCACGGTTACATCGCTCACAGTAGGAAGGTGTACGAGAGGGCGGTGGAGTTCTTTGGAGAAGAACATGTGGATGAAAACCTGTTTGTGGCCTTTGCCAGGTTTGAGGAGATACAGAAAGAGGTGTGTGAAACCAGTTACAGAACAAAATCCATCCAGTTTTTAATTAGCGACTTCCTCCTTTGGTTAATTGTTCTGCTGGAGTGCTTTGAAAAATATCGTTGTCCTTGTCCTTAGATTGTGGAAGTAGCTATTGGTGTTTAGTAGGATCTGTTTGGCTTTTAAAGCATATGTTCTTCATGCATACTACAATTCTTATGCATTGATCTTCCCTTTTAGTTTGAACGTGTACGGGTGATCTATAAGTACGCTTTGGACAGAATCCCTAAACATCAGGCGCAGGAGCTCTTCAAGAACTACACGATGTTTGAGAAGAAGTTTGGAGATCGGAGGGGAATTGAGGACGTCATTGTCAGCAAACGAAGGTTCCAGTACGAGGAGGAAGTCAAGGTATTTTCATGAACCGCCATCAGTGGCTTTAAAGAGTGAGGTTAGGAAATGTGTGGAAAATTGTGTTGGTGTAGCCATTGACTGGGACTTCTGGTTCTGATCACTGACACTGGGTGATTCTTCCTGTTTTCCTGTTTGCATGCAGGCAAACCCGCACAACTACGATGCATGGTTTGATTATCTTCGTCTGGTGGAGAGTGATGCAGACTCTGATGGAGTGAGGGATGTTTATGAGCGAGCCATCGCCAACATTCCCCCCATCCAGGAGAAGAGACACTGGAAACGATACATCTACCTGTGGATCAACTACGCTCTGTATGAGGAGCTGGAGGTCAAGGTTGGTCGGAAGGAATCCTCATTTATATAGATTAGTATTGTTACCAAAATTCGACAGATAAATCAGGAGCATTAAAGAAAATAGTACATAAAATGTTTAAATAATATTTTAAAAGAAAGGAGTCTACTCTGTCTTTTGATAAACATAAGATCATATTAAAACTCGGTAATAACTCATGTGCATAACAAACCTGATATTGGTATTTATTTCATCAGGATTATAATCTGTCCCAAGACAAAATATCACTTCTAATAGTCACAAAAGTGACAAACAGCACATTCACATTGAAAAAGGAAGAAATGGGCTGGTATCGCTTTTGTTTGTTGTGATCCTGGCGTCTGGCCTTGAGCGCCTGTTTAGATTGCATACTTTTATTTTTTACTTCTGTTAGGATCCAGAAAGAACACGGCAGGTGTTCCAGGCCTGTCTGGACCTCATCCCTCACAAAAAGGTATTTTTTACTTTATCGTGCACTTAGAATGAGTCTGGATTTTTTTGGTTCTTCTTATAAAAGACAGTACTAGTGTCACTAAAACACATGTAGTTGACACTGTTGTTACCAGATTGTGATCATCTTGTGCTTTGGTTCAGTTCACATTCGCTAAGATTTGGCTGCTCTGCGCTCAGTTTGAGATCCGACAGAAGAACCTGCAGGGAGCCAGAAAGGTCATGGTGAGGTCAAGATAAAATATTAATTGTAACAATATACACACACACACACACACACACACACACACTTTTTTTCCATTTAGGTCAACATAGAGAGCAATAGATTGTGGGGAATAAACTGAAATTCCATCCTAGTGGACATCATTACAGACCAACAACTACATTATTTAATCAGTAAAAGTTAAAGCTGTGTTACATGTACATAAACGTTCTCTCTTCACAAACTGAAATTAAAGTGTTTTTTTTTTTAATTTCCTTTATTTAGCCAGCTAAAAGTCTCACTAACAATAAAATCTGTTTCAAGAAAGACCTGGCCAAGAGAGCAATGTAAAAGCATTGTATCCAACAACGAACAGGCTAAGACAGCTGACACCTTCTGCAGTTTAGAGGCAAACATGTTACTTTAATACTGTAAGGTAGAAACAGGAAACTTGTATCTGCTGTTTCCTCTCAGCAGCTTTTCTGTTCCCTCAGGGCACTGCAATCGGTAAATGCCCCAAGAACAAGCTGCTGAAGGGCTACATTGAGCTGGAGCTGCAGCTCCGTGAGTTCGACCGCTGCAGGAAGCTGTACGAGAAGTACCTGGAGTTCAGTCCAGAAAACTGCACCACCTGGATCAAGTTTGCAGAACTGGAGACCATCCTGGGAGACATCGAGAGAGCCCGTGCCATCTTCGAACTCGCCATTGGACAGCCACGACTGGACATGCCAGAGGTCTTTATCACTGTTTTGTTAATCCAGTTTTTTTTTTGTTGTTGTTGTTGTTGTTTTAAGGATGGGAGAGTATGGGTGAAAAATATTCTCACTTTATCTGTGTTCTGTGGCTGTTACTCTTTCAGGTCCTGTGGAAGTCCTACATTGACTTTGAGATCGAGCAGGAGGAGTTTGGGAACACCAGAAACCTTTACAAACGGCTGCTGCAGCGCACCCAGCATGTCAAGGTGGGAATTGCTCTCTGGCTCAGAGCACAAAACGCGCCTGGGAAAGTTCTGAAAGTTTTGCAGACCCAGTTTATTTAAAACCAAACAAATAATGAAAATGAGGCTTCAGTGCCAAGATGGGTGAAGCAGAAATGAAGTAATGAATGTCCTGATTACTTACATCTCAGGCCATACGTTTGGGGTTCTACTGCAAATTTTTACACATATTTGGCCTTTTGGTTATGTAATTAATTCAGTCATTAAGATTTAAAAACTAATATTAGGAATTGTTACAAAAATACAAAATTTGGATCTGGATCATTGATCATCCCCAACTTCTGTTCCTGCAGGTCTGGATCAGCTACGCCAAGTTCGAGCTGTCTATCGACAGCCCTGACCGCCTAGAGAAGTGCCGGCAAATCTACGAGGAGGCCAACAAGAGCATGAGGAACTGCGAGGAGCA